GACCGCGCCTGGAAGACGCGTTCCTACGACAACATACGCCATGAAGATAGACGCAGTTGTGATAGTAGCAGACGTGGAATCAGCTGTGTCGTTGAGGTTCACCCACCTCGACGCCACATGCTTGGCTATGCTGATCAGACTGCAGCCTGATGTCCTAGTTTTCGCACGCTGTCAATCGTGTCGTGGCGGGGAAAGCGCAGATGCGCAGTCGCTGGTTCTCAGTCGAGATCATTGGCCGCCAGAAGCCACCTCAAGGACGGCGTCGTCTCGTCACTTCTTCGAGCAAGTTATCGCGCTGCCGGCAGACCCAATGATGGTCCTGTAGCTGTATCGCAATTCGATATGACATTTTTATTGGATGTCATTGTGCCGGATAGGTCTCTGTCGCTGTAAAGTGAGGTGTTGAAGATCAGAGACGCGATTACCCCGCGAACCGTTAAGCAACTGCGCGTCTGCGCATCGAGATGTTGGAAGGCACCAATCCACAAACATCGGCTGGTCTAGGCATACCTAGGCAGCAGCAGCCTGAAGCTCACACGGCATGCGTATTAAAGTCTGGCGAAGCCACCTGAGACACAGCACATCTTCCTCAGCCTCAAATAATCTCAAAAGTCCCAAGTCAAAGTCATCCATCGCATACTCAATCCACCATGCCAGCCACCCTCACAGTCGCAGACCACGACTCCAAAAGCTCACGCAGTCGAATCTACAACGTCGACACCCCAGAAAAGCTCCTCGCACATACCAGTTCACGAGACTCGCAGGCCTGCAAATGGCTAGTTCGGAGTTCGGTCTCCGCCGATGAACTCCAGAAGTCTTGCATTGTGGGCTCGAACAACGGGTTCGTCCACGCAGCTTTCGATGCATACAGCTATCACCACCATCTCACCATCCGCCCGGAAGACGTCTGGTTCGCAATCCTCTCGCAACTAAACTTCTACATCAACGCCAATGCGGAAGCCCTACGCGACCATTTCGTCTCGCACCAAGGCCAGAAAGAGCTCGAGGTCAAAGACGTGGGCAGCATTCATTCAGTGGATATTGGGGCGTTAGCTAGACGGATGACGGGACTAATCCAGGAGAATGTCAAGGACCCCGATCTGCGCGATTGGATCATGCCTGCGTTCAGCACGACCACAGTCAGCGACCGCACAACAGCTGCAGTACTCATGATGGGTACGATGCAAGCGTATTTCTCGTACAAGATGAGTATCATGTGTGGTATTCCCTCCGTCACTCTGCTGGGTAAACGCGAGGACTACGAAGATATCCTCGCCAGGCTGGAGAAACTCGTTGAATTGGGTCCTGAAGCGAGTACATTCGCTGATCTACTTCGCCCTGTTCTGCGCAACTTCATCGCAACTTTCGATCCGGAGCAGGCCGTTGCCTCCCGCGACTTCTGGCAGAAGATCGCGCATCGCTCTGGCGGGGGCAGCGGACCGTCATATCTGGGAGGCTGGCTAACGGCATTCTGCTTCTGGAACGACAAGGGCAAGTGCATGTATAATCTGAAGACAGGAACGCAGAGTTGGAACGTCGATGAATCCGACAAGCAGCTGTTGGAACTGGACGGAGTTTCGTATCATCGGGTGGATACCGATGATATATCGAGTGGCTTTGCCTCTGTGCCTGTGTTGGTGAACGACAATGGTACAGAGTACAAGACGAAGATGGTCGCTGGATCGCTGGGTATCGAAATCACTAGCAGCAATGATTCCGGTGCTGGGGCAGAGGAGAAGAAGCTGGATTCGCTGCAGTCGCTCAGTGGGTGGATGATGTATGAGATCGATCCTGCTCCCAAGAAGAACCCCTGGGAACATGACTCGGAAGGGAATGATTCTGATTGACCAGTATATGAGGGTGTTGGATTAGGGTGATGACATCGAGCATGATGTGCAAAGTATGACGGACTAGTTTGCGAAGGATAAGGTTACCGGGTTTTCCTTATGGTACCGTACAAAACGTAATTTGAAATGTACAGTCTCTAACAACCTACACATGTGTTAGCGTAGTCAGGAGAGATTAGGTTGCATGAAGAGCAAGCTCGAAGAAACAGCCCACTTCGTATAAACCGCATAGACATAATTGAAGTAATTGCTTGGATTTGTTTGCATATACATCTCAAAAAGTACAAATCAGGCTCAAAAAGTATCAACTTCTGCGCAAAATCGCAGGTTCATCCAGCAAACAAGATGCGACGGTTCTCCCCTCTACTACAACGATCCAAAAACACTCTAGGTGAAGGCCATGCTCTTCTTGATCTCGGCAATAGCCAGCGCAGGGTTAAGTCCCTTGGGGCACGTCCTTGAGCAGTTGAGAATGGTGTGGCATCGGTACAAGCTCATGCTGTTGTTGAGGGCGTCCTGGCGCTCGGCCTTCTTCTCGTCTCGCGAGTCGGCGATCCATCGGTAGGACTGGAGAAGGACAGCGGGGCCGAGGTACTCCTCCTGGTTCCACCAGTAGGATGGGCATGAAGTTGAGCAGCAGGCGCAGAGAATGCATTCGTAGAGTCCGTCGAGCTTCTTGCGGTCTTCCTTGGACTGGCGGAATTCACGGCCCTGACATGTTGTTAGTAGCGGTCTCTTAATCGGGTTCCAAGTGTGTACGTACGTCTGGTGCGGCGGTGTCGCGCTGCAGGTATGGCTTGACTGATCGGTATTGCTTGTAGAAGAGCGTCATGTCCGGCACGAGGTCCTTGACAACGTACATGTGGGGGAGCGGGTAGATGCGAGATTCCTTGGTTGTGTCGGTGGGAATGCGGCCTGTCACATCCGGTTAGCCTTCCAATTCCTTCATACGGTGCAATTCCACATACAGAGACATGCCAGGGTGTTGACTCCGTCAATGTTCATAGCACAGCTTCCGCAAATACCCTCGCGACAACTCCGCCTGAACGTCAGGGTGGGGTCCACCTCGTTCTTGATCCTGATAAGCGCATCCAGCATCATGGGTCCGGTCTTGTTGAGATCGAGCGTGTACGACTGCATCTTGGGCTTGGAGGTCGGCTCATCTGGGTTCCATCGGTAGATGTGAAAGGTCTTGGTCTTCGCATCTGCGCTGGCCTCGGGGTCCTCAATCGTCGATGTCTTGCTCTCTGGGATGGGCGATCGCGACGCATTGGGTACAATCTTTTCGGCGGTCTTGGAGATGGGCTCGCGGGCGTGAACGTCGTTTACGGAGGCGAAGCCGCGGGAGAAAACTGCCGGCCGTACGGCTGTCGATGAGCGTTAGCAGTGCTCAGCTGTCGCGGTGACACTGGACGATGTACGTACCAATTCTCCGGGTAGCCAGACGGGTGAAAGCGCGTGTGGAGGCCATTGTGTGTGGTGTGGAGTGGAGAGTGCGGGCTGGGGCTTAAAGATCAAAGTGTTGCTATCATCGAAGTTGTAGCGTCAGGGCGCCACTCAAGCTTCCTCGGTTATGACAACTGCCAACCCGTGATTGGTCGCGCATGTTCGTCGGACGATTCCGGCTTCTTCGGCCCTTCGACGCCACTACATCATCGTCGAAAACGTCAAGACTTGTGACAGTCATCTCGCACATAAAGATCGTTCGCCCAGTGTGGTTCTTTCCAGAAAGCAGGTCTTTGAAGAAGTCATGTTGCGATAGATCGCAAAGCTCAGCAAGGTCCCAGCACACGATGATTTCGGCTACAAGCAATTTCTTTGTGCTCGTGTGATCAATTGCGCGTAGCCAGTGTTGGTATTCATATTAACTATAAGGTCGGTAATATCGTAGTGGCTTGCTGTACTCATATCACGCCGACGTTAGAGGCATATGCCATATAGCCGATCGGCCTTGATGAGGTAGAATTTTCTTGCAATGCCGACTCACTCAGGAATAGCCGATGTTACACATCCTTGGGGGTTTGATTCTCTTTGCACGTACTGTGCTTTTACTTAAATCTCACGGATGCTCCTCTCTCGTTCTGCCAAAACTCTCCAGCAGTCCAGTCTCCATCTGTCGCTCTGTCTCAATCACCGCGCGTATCTCCGGGATTACTCTGCCTTGCAAGGTCGAAATCCCACTGTTCTAAGCCCTACTTCCACAAGTTCAGTATGAAACGCATTGCACTTTCTCTTCATGTTTATAGTGCTGAGGTCGCATGTGCGCACTCTCGTCCTTATGGTTCCACACTACGTTGTGATTTTTTATAATAAGAACAATAGTTTTCGATATGCCCAAGAAGATTTCCGCGTTATACCAACTTTAAATTGAACTTTGTAACAAACCTCTGGTTTAACGGCAAGCCAGTGTCATGGTTTCGCTCTTTCCCCTTCCGGACGTGGACTCATCTTCAACACGCGGACCACCAAAGCAGAAGGCACGACGAGAATCTGGGGTCCGGGGCCCCACTTTGAGCTCTCACTTTCACCTTATCGCGACTGAATCTCTTAGAAGCCTGTTTGCTCAAGCTGTCAGCTTGGCGAGGCCTTTCGTCGCCGCGTCCATCCTCTTCCCTCCGCCACCGCACCACGCTCACACGGTCGCGTCGCCCCCAAATCCGCACCATCCGCACCCGCTATAGCGCTGTTATCGCATCATTGTTGCTAAGATTGTGGAAGTCATGTCTCTCTCATCACCTCAGGTAAGTCGTCTTCTCTTTCGTCTGCTCTTGCATCTTCTGTGGAATCTTGTTGTTGACAGTCCTCGAGGCACTTACGCCCACCAAGGGTAGGTTCATAGGCGGTAGCCCGACTGGTGGCTATGGCAGTCCACTCCGTCCGCGCTTCGAGCGGGACGAACAGTCCTTGCCTACTGTGGCGGAAGATGGATCCAATGGAAGCGCGTCCACTGATTCACACTCCGCTTCTGGAGGATCATCGTCGCAGCTCAGCTACAACAATGCCATGAGCCGCCCTATGGATGCTTCTCAAGGACCAGTCAACAGCCAGATGCCACACGCAAAGCAGCAGCTTGTGGGTTTCGCTTCACCCTAGCATGTCGAGGGACTGTGGCTAACATACACGAAGCCAACAACTCCTCAGCGAGCTCATCCTATGACAGTCAACGGAAATATGCCGCCTTCTCTTGCGTCTCCATCGTTCACTTTACCCCAGGGCACTCAGCAGTACGGTGACTACACGCAGAAGATGGCGCCGGCTAAGACCAACCACCTCAAAGACATTGGTTCTCAACGTGGCATCTCTCACACAGGCCAGAGGTCCGATAACTGGCGTTCATCTGGTCACGCATCGTTCAGCAAGTCCAAGCGTCATCCATCCACCATGGTCAACCCTGCGCCAGCATTTCCACGCACGATGACCGACATCCCGGAGTATTTGGCTGTACAGGAGATGGCTTTCCGTCAAGGTCAGAATGACTCAGGAAACTCTCGCAGCAGGGTCCCAGCAAGCCCCTTCGCAAGCCTCTTCGACCAGGTCTGGGAGCGCTTCTTCCAAATGGGTGCAGCCTACGGAGGAACGCCTGCTACATCGCCCGTAGAGCCGTCTCCCACTCACGAGAACTTCGTTTGGTCTATCCTGATCAACCCCGCTACACAGGATCTAGCGCATCTCAACGGTTCCGTGGACATGGGATGGGCTCATAAGATGTGCAGCATGTCTTTGAACTGCATGGAAGAGCTCATCCGCGTCGTGCGCAACCGTCCCAAGGACTGGGAGAAGATCGTCTGCGACATCCCTTTCCCGGTCAAGCAGACCATAGTGGCCTTCCCTGACCTCTGCGAGTACTACGACGCCCTCCAGCAAGAGGCCAACGATGCGTTCGGCGGCGGCTTCTGAAGCTTGTCAAACCCGTCGGCTACACCTTCGTGAAGTGAGATTATTGTCCCACATTCGAAATTATGGCCGCCTAGCAACGGTAACAACATTCGCGTGCGGTCTGTTGGTGGTTTCGCCTAGGCGATGTTTACATGACGATCAGGGGGTATTGTATGATGTTTCTCTAACGAGATTTTAATAGTGGGTTGATTCCTTTTTGAATTCATGGCGTTTCACGGTGGGCACTGATGGAGTTTCGGCGCGATCTTGTTGGAGGAGTATCCCGGCAGCATCGTCAGTTTCTATTCATGTTCACGCCCACCGATCTCACGACGTCATGTAACGACCCATGTACAAGGAATGGCTCTGGCGCAGAAGCCCCAGATGTACTGTAGCACAGCTACGCACCAACACGTATAACAAAAATAATTTTCGATACAATAGCCCAAAAGCAATAAGACACACCTCGCGTCGTGATACTGCCACGCCAGATCACGTGGAGACGCGAATACGGGAGGGAATGGCTCCGGGCCTTTCCAAGATTTGCGAATATCCGCGTCATGCACATCATATCAGATTTTCATCACCATCTACTATAACCGTGTCCAGTCGCGCAAACCGCCCCTCTGAAAATGACAGCAACAGCACCAGCACGTTCGCATGGCTTCGATCGCCAACACAGCCTTTTGCAGCTCGACTGCAGCGCCGACCTGCGACACTATTCGCGCAACCTCGGGCCAGGCGTCCAGGAGCGCATCTTCCAGACCACGAGCGACGCCCTGCGGAAACAACTCGACGAGCATCGCGACTTCCTGCTCCGGCATCAGCAGCAGCAACCGCGGCTGGCTCCTACCTCGTCGGTAGTCAGCGGCCCAGCGCCGCCAACTCCTCAGGCATACCCACAGCCTCATCCCTATTCTCAGGCGTCGCAGCCCCCTCCCCTCCAGGCCGCCGCACCGCAGCTCGTCCATCGCCGCCCCGAACCCGCCATCGTCCCCGGCGACATCAGCACATACCCGCTCGCCCTGCGCGATGCCTTGTATTCGCAGAAGCTGATTCCGCGGGCGCATGACGGCCGGTCAGCGTATCATGTGGTAGTCAGCAGCAAGAACCGCGATCTGGGCGAGGATACAAAGGTCGTAGGGACTTGCCCGAGCATGCTGGCAGCGAATGAACTCGCGGCGCGGTACTTTGTCGAACATTGTCTTGTCGATGTTATTGACCCGAAGTTCACGCAGCTGGCGAGCGGCGCGTTGCACTGCGGTGCGGGACCTCACAACGTTTATGTGCAAGAGGGCAGGATGGAATGATGGACGCATCTGGGAATACAAGATGTCGTGGACCCGGGGCAATGGTCTGGTCCCCAGGTTCCACGGTACCCTTTGTCACCTGCAGGGTCCGCTGCCGTCCTGCATCATACCCGTGCTTTCAACCCGTCAGGCGGTATGTCATGTCCATCAAACATGTCGGACAATCGCATCTGGGATGCGCATCGCCACCACAACCTGATCGACGACTCGCGGGCGATTTCAGAGCTCAGCGATGTTCCTGGTCAACCAGAAATCCGACAAACCGCGAAGTCGTAAGATAAGAAGGGCCAACACGCACCGGTCAGTCACAGGACGTGTCGGGCAACAAGAGTCAGACAGGTAGCATCCTCTCATCGGCGCATGCTGGGGTACTACATGCACAGGGCGAAATCAGCTTGGAGGAAAGGAGTTTTACATTCTTGGAGCGTTTCGTGTTTTTGGGCGGATATGTATTATTATAATCTATTTCGATGATCCATGCGCATCATTGCTGGGACCATAGAGCCCCAGAGCGAGTCAATTAATTCTGTAATCACCTTACAACACTGTCCACCGTCTATACCGCGCTTCTCCGCTTTGACGTCTTTTTATTACACCTGTCCAAGCTGTCATGTAGACTTGGTTGTGCCGCCTGTAAGCCGCGCGCGTGACATGTCTACCAGTACCTACTCTCGACCTCTAATCCTTCGTTACCCAAAAGTTACTCGCACCCACGCCAGACGTGAAACGAAGGGAGACGATCACCATATCTTCACCGGAAGTCCGTTTCATGCCCACACTTCCCAACAAGGCAGTTTACCAACAAGTGTAGATTGCAGTGTTGGCATGTTCCGGACTCGTTTTGCTCGTCCGCCCGCTACTTGCCGTGGTAGCAGGGTCAGGCGCTCCGCAACTTGGCATGCCCTTGTCCCTGTGACCGGAACCCTCGCATTGCGGGCTCTTCAGCTACGTCATCAACATTGTTCGCCAGGGCGCGCTGGTGTCGCATAACTTCATTCATATCCTGCGAAGAAACGGACGAAGCGCATCATTATACCGCGTCGCATCACGTAGATCCCAGACCCTCACTGTACCCAGCACAACGGAACGAGCGACCATCCCTTGCACAAACCCTGCCTCGCCGCAGCCACGCCACGCATAACCTCCTGCCCACGCCGCAGCCACACAGCCCGCCATGGCGCCCCCAAACACGCCCTTCATCTACCTCCTCTGGCACCTCTACCTCGAGCCCATCTTCGCCCTCGGCGGCACATACCACCTCCACTGGGCGCCCGCCGAGTACTTCACCTTCATGCCGTCCACATCCGCGTACCACCCCGACTCCCAGATCGCATACGACCAACTCGCATCCGCATACCTCTTCTTCGCCTTCACAGAGGGCGTGTTGATGCGCGTTGTGAAGGATCGGAAGACGTGGTGGTGGATTGTGCTGGGGCTGATACTGTGTGATTTGGGGCATTGCTATGCGGCTTGGTGTGAAATGGGGACGAGGGGCGTGTTGGATTTGGGGAGCTGGAGTCAGAAGGATGTTGTTACTAATTCGCTGAATGTGCTGCCGGTGCTTGTGAGGGCGGCGTATTTGGTGGGGCTTGGTGTGCCTGGGGAGGGGGCGGAGAGTAGGAAGGAGATTGAGGGTAGGAAGGCTCCGAAGAAGGCTTCGAGGAAGGCTTGATCTGATATGTGATTTTACTTTTGAGATATATATACGTCGCGGTTTGATCTGGTTGTATGCAGTATGTCATGGTCAGCCCAACGCAGCCTACATGTTGAAGTCGAGATTCTTGCTCGATTGTGTTCCTCACTTGATACACATGCGTTCGTCTCTATGAACTAAGAGCTAGCGATGCGGTCTTCAGTGTGTTAGTGTAGTCGACAAGTTCGGGTTGTCAAGGAAATATCATGTCGGCGCATATACCGCGGCCGAGACAGGCCGTGGCAGGGTGAGGCGAAGTTTGTGTCGGTTCCAGGTAGCATGATATGAGACGCTCTACGCGGTCAGAGTTTCAAGGCCTGCAGCATACACGTAGTTTCTCCAACCTTCTCGTCTATTCCACGCGCGCGTTCAGCACGGCTGATTCGTCAAGTCTCTGCAGACGGCATGCATGGAAAATATAGCAGCATGTGGGGGGAGTGAGCCGCGGGAGGGCCACGCTGCAGGTCAACATCGAATTCTGCGCGCACTATCGGATTCTTTGAAATGCCATGACGGCGCACTAGCCTTGGAGTTGCTCTCAACACTTTCCCACCAACCCCCATCGAGATGGGAGCCTTCACGTGAAGGTTGCAAAGTGCGCGGGCTGCACAGACGGCGACTGGCTTCGGGAGATTCAGCGCGCAGGACGGAGGCAGGCTATGGTCCATGGCCCCAACGGTTGCACGAGCCGGCGTGTGTCTAATTGGCGGGCGGGGCACAGTGATGCGCGACTAAATGGGGAAGCTCCCGCAGCTGTCAGGTTAGCAGAGCAGGCGCCGGCGCAGTCTGACGACGGTCTTCCGTGCAACTTGCGTAAAGATGACCGTCGTCGAGTCAAGGGCTTCGCTGATTGCAGTGCGACGGTGGAGAGGCCCACCAAACGCGCTGTGCGTGCCGGTGTGGCCGTACGTCATACCGCGGGGCTGAAATCTTGCAATTTGCGGCCATGGACACGAAAGTATCAAGTACGCCCCTTGCCGTAAGCCGCACGCCTCATCCAGGAACAGCAGCCAGATATCCTGAATTTGCCCAACCCCCAGCCCAGCACGCCGGCAGCACTTTCTTGCTTGGGCCCCGACTGACACGCGTAACTAAAGGCGTGGCTTCCCTTGGACCTGCTTCATCACGATCGATCGAAGCTGCCGGAAATTTCACTGCGCGCGCCCACCGCCTCTATAACTTCACCTCGTCTCCCCCAAGCCATTGCGCAGGACCCGCTTCTCCCGCCTATATCTGATTGCCATTTCTCCACCATTTCTACAACCTCAATCTCTGACCAGCGGGCGCCCACGCCAGACTGCTGCCCAACATGACCACCCACGTCGTCTCCCTGTAGGTACCGCTTTTCACTTGTCAGCCTGAGTCAACCTGTAGATAGCGCACTATGGTTCCAATCTGCACCGCGTTCGCCCTTTAACAGCGCTAGTTTCCTCCCGTATACCGTCGACTTCCACGAGTCCAAGTCCAACCCCCCAAGCCCGCCAGACGCCGCGCCCCCGAAGCTGAGCGAGACCGCCCGCGAGTCCTCCGCTACTAGCATAGCCAAATCGCGGCCCGTCAGCAAGAATGCAACTGAAGAGCAGACTCCGAGCCTCCTTAAGCGGGCGCCGCCCACACACATCCAGCTGCCCAAGACGCCCATGCGCATGACGGAGCATGAGGACTTCTTCACGCCCGGCCAGCCCAGCGCGGCCACGCACTTCCCCAAGCCAGCAGACCCCCGGGGCCTGGTACGTAGCGATGCCCATGTCCCCGAATGGGGTACTACCGGTCTCTTCTTCAACCAGCCCATGTCCAGGGCCGAGCCAGCGCCCCCCGACACCATCCTCGAATACGCAAAGGCGCAGGAGCGGGCGCAGGCCCAGAAGGAGCGCATGAAGGGCTCTCACGCCGGCAAGCCTACAACGGACCCGCGATGGGCCACCGAGTACTCCGTCGTGCCAGCTGTCCAGGGCAACGGCGGCCTGACCAACGCGCTGCGCTGTGCCGTGGACAACAAATGTATTAGTGACACCATC